TTTCAATCCAAAAGTCCAGATAGTACTCCATAATTACTCCACATTTTGGGGTTTATTTTATAATAATAAGGATCCAAGATATTTAGTTTTAAACATAAATGGAAATAGGGGCTGAAAAAATTGACAATTCAGTTCAGTAAGATCCTAAATGGACTATGAGATTGTAGTCCCCTATTCTTTTAGGATTCTTTTGAATTTATAATTGTAGGACAGGATTTCCATAAGAATCCACAGGAAATAGGCATCCAGCTATGTTCACTTTTTGCAATTAGGACACCTTCCCAAATTTTTCTTCTTCCTCTGCTTCAACAAAAGTGAAAAAAAAAAAAAAATCAGTAAAGACTGCTAAACTCAGTCTGACCAGGCACAGAGAACAATACTACCCCATACTAAGAAAGTACTTTCTGCAATTTCTAGACATCCTAGCACGCATGAATTTTATTCTAGCTGCTTTTATTCTCCTGTGGGACCACACACAGCCACCCCAATTCTATCTCCCAGATGCCTCTTGCTAAATTCCTCACTGTGCAGCAGCTCTCTCATGAAGAAGATTTTTTGTTCCATCAGCTACCTATGTTCTTGCATCAGTAGACTGAAGATGAACTGAGGACAAATGTTATCTATACACCAAGCACTGGGCTGTGCACTATTTTTTTTTATTTATTTTTTTTTTATTTTTTTTTGCCAAACAGCAGTTTAAAAGAGCTTTAAACTTTTTGTCCATATTTAACCATGTTAAGGTAAGGTCTGTTGACATTGAAAAGACAATGAGAAATCTGCCCAGAGCAACTTATCCTACCTTCCTTTGATGTCAACCTAAAAAAGAGGGGGACACAAAATAGCTGGACTGTTTATTGAAGTATATGTTCATTCACACTTTTGAAATGTTAACACCATAGAACTGCAAAAAGTCAACATTTGGGGGGAAAAAAGTGTTAAACATTAACTGGTGGGCCTAGGCCTGATATATTGTCTGCTTCCCTAACGCGTAGGGGCTCATTTCCCCATAGACAGGAATGGAATTACACAGGAATGGTAATGAATGTGGTTGCAGGCCTTTATCTGTTGAACTTTTCTCTCCTACAAAGCTGTGGTAAGGCTATCTGACTGTAAAGTTACTGGTGTTTTCTGTGAGAAGGTTTAAAAAAAAAAAAAAAAAAAAAATCAAACTGCAGCAAATTCAGAAGTAGATGTCAAGGTCTGAACCCATCTCTAACAAAACCAGAATATAGTCCAGGGAAAGCTGACTTAATGAATGTTCCTTAAAAGGGTGCCTAATGCTTATCAGTGTCAGAGGTTTTCATGGCATACACTCGGTATGACACTGTGACAGTGCAGAACCCTTCAAAGTTGTTAGTCTGTTCTTTTTGCGAGATTTGCTGCCCTGAATGGCACAAAGTGACCTCATAGTACTGTGTCCCCCCCCATTTGGAATACTCCAGATCTCCTCCAATTTCAGAAATCAGCAAACTTTTGGTTTTATGTTTTCTTTTGCCAAGGAGCAGCTGGCATCATTTACAGTATTGAAAAACTTATAATAGTTACTTCTGTGCCACATGCGTAACTGTAACTGTAAGACAACATCAAATTTTATTTGTTCTAGGACCTTTTCTTTTGTGGAGGTCTCATTTTATTTGCAGTTTATTTCTTTATTAGGCTGAACTTTAACAAAATATATGTACGTATATGCATATACTCCTCCCAAAATGCAAATAGCATTGGCCAGTTGCAGAGGAAAGAAAAGCATCCTCTGTTTACCTATTCATTTGCTAAAATCCCCCAAACCCCACCTTTCTGGATTATCTGAATCCATCTGGGACTGAAGCCAAAGACACCTGCTATATAAGACTGAGGGAGCATAGGTGAACTACTCTTCCTGACCAACCTTACACTGGCACCCTTCTGCCAGACTCCACTCAAAATGGAGTTTGGTAGGAGGATATGGTTACGAGAATGGGCTTTCCTTTTAGCACTTTGCTGCGCCCATCAGATAGGTAAGAAGTTGACTCTTTTATTGTTGCTTAGACCTAATAATATATTTTAAGCAACTAAATCCATTTTAATGTTTCACTTAGCAAATGGTTGCACTTAAATAGAACTTTGTCTTTGATAGAGCTAAGTCTGTTTTTGCTTTTTTTTTTTTAACTTGCATTAAATAAAATGTAATTAAAATTAAATTAACTGGATTGATTTGATTTCACATTGCCCCAAGCCACTGAATATAACCTCACTTGATAAGTAGTCTTGAAAACCAAAAAGAACCATTATTCATGTCTTAAAGTACCAGATGTTCAGTAGTACTTATGCCTTACAAAAGCATTTCGTTTCCTTTGCATTTTATAGTAAGAATGATTACAAATGTTCTGATCTTTTCATGAAATTTAAAGCACTACTTTTCCAGTTGCTAGATCAGGTAACAGGTCAGTCTTTTCCAGTATTTTGTCACCTAATAGAACTTCATACTAGATTACTCTTGCCAATTCCTTTGCAAAGAAAGACTAGAATTATTCATGTGACAGTGATTTTTGGTAATGAATGTATACTGATACTACATTAGATATAATATTTAATATTTACATAAATTGTTGATCTTCATTATGAAAATCACTGGGAGGTTAATCTGTTACATTGCAATCCATCATTTTGTGCATTTTTTTCTCTTGCTTGCATTACATTAATTGACGACAATCTTGGCAGATTGTTAATATTCAATCATGTTCAATCAGACTATGCAAATAGAAATTACTTCCATGAACACAAGCTTGCTAACTCAGTCCCATAGGTGTACAGTAATTACTGTCCTGTCAGCTAGCATTTTAAAATCTTCAGATTGCTTTTCAATTTATCTTATCACTTTCCAAACACTAACAAGTGTAAATACAATTTTAGGTTACTTTATGTTACATGAAATAAGCACTAAAATACTGCTAAATTGATTTAAGCACAAAAGTACAAGTCACCTACAGGTGTAATCCTACGTTTAGAGTTACATAGTGTCAATCAAAATATCCTCAGCCCTTCTTTGTACAAGCAAGTTATTTGTATTGTGCAATGCCAACGCAATAAATTACTTTGAAAAATGAGTAGTGGTTAGACCAAATCCAGCAAAGACTTCTTTCAAATCACACTAGGTGGAAAATATATTCAGATGTCCTCACTGACTACAAAATATTGGCCTTATCCCATGCCATCTTCTCTAACTTCATGTTCAGGGTCCAATTCCAACTTCTATAAGTTGTAATGAGAATTGTGTGTATGGGGTGGCAGCTGGATAATAGCTTGACAAGGTGCATCCACAAATATTCATAACTCTTTCCAAATAATCAAAGATCGAATTACCATGTACTGGTATTCTTGGAAGCAATAAGCACCTATTTTTATAAGGATCAAGAGCATGGCATTATGCAATTGCTAGATAATGCTAGATAAACTAGTGCAGCTAGAATTTCCTTGGAAATAATACTTGCTTAGTAAAAAAAACACCGCATTTCCTTGAGAAAAATTAACAGACTAAAATACATGTATATACTGTTTTGTTCTGTTACAAAAGTTCTCACACTTTTAAATAAGCATTCACAATATTTTAAAGAGTATTGGCTCTTAGGTGAAGTCAGGATGATTCTGTGTTCACTGAAGCTCCTGTGAATGTGTTGAATGAAAGCAAATTGTCGCATTATTAAGACTCACAGTGGCATTTGTTATATTTTCTCAACAATTGTAGTGGTATGAATGTATTTATCTAATGATAGTATCTGTGATACTGAAAGACCAACAGAAAGCAGAAAAAGATTAAAGTTACTTCTTCATACATCACAAATGGTCATGTATAAATGAGGACAGAACAGAAGCTTAGGGACGAAAGGAAACTCCTGCAGACACTGGAACAACTTCTAGAGATGGTGAAGCTTCCCAGAACACCCTTCCAAAATTAGGAGTGTCTTGGGTTTCTCTTTGGCAGTGCAAGTTTGAATCCCTTCAGCTCTGAGATCAAGTACTCAGTTTGCTTACGTGGTGTGCATTTCCAGTAAAAATCCTTCCTTGTTTGGTGTGGTGGTTCTGAGTTCTCTAGTTTTGAGTTTCTGGATCTATCTGTCTGTTATATAATGAGAAAGGGAACTTAAAGCTAAATTGCACAGGCAGCACTTCAACTGGCAAGTACTTTAGACACCAGAAGTGCTCATTCAGACATGAGTCATTTCATCACCTAAATCCTCTGAGGATTTAGACTTGACATGTTGTAGGTTGGTATTAGTCAACGTTTTCCAGGCATGGTTATTTTATTCTGGATGGATTCAGTCTTTCATAAAATAAAGTTGTAGCCATTTTTCTTAAATGGGAAGTGCCTGACATGTTTACTTACGAAAAATAGGAGCTTAAAGCACCAAACTTGGAGCACAGGATCAGGTGTTTTTCTAAGCACGATAGTTGGGCCATGTGTAGAAAGCAATTCAAAACTTATGGAGACAGAACAAAGAGAAGGAGAATTCAGCTGGAAGACAATTGAGTAGTTGAGCTACTAACTATTTAACTAGAGGTACAAAAATAATTATTGAAGCAGAACACAGGAATAGGACAGTTTTGATTTTTAAGTTTTTGATTTCCTCCTTAGTCAGAGTAGATGTAACAAAAACCAGCTATGCTTTTGTATTAGGCTAATATAGTGTAGCTTAACTCTTTGTATTGGTTGTTGTGCCTGAAGAGCTCTGATATGCAGAGCTGTGAGTTTCTGCCTATGCTAACACAATTTGGAGTTTCATAAAAAAAATCAAAACTACAAGGTAGAAAATGGAAATCCTCACAGCTGAAAGCAATTTTTTTATGATTGAATTATGAAGTGTAATGTGGACTTCTAACCTGATTCACATCCTGTATAAATCAGCACCAGTCTTAACACTGTCAGATTAGCACACTGATCTTTTCTTTCTAGGTCAGTTTTAGGTGCAAGTCTTGGAATTGTTATACTAGATTTGGTTTTCTTAATTTTTTTTCTTCTTTCACAGTTTCATCTGAAGTGAAAATCATCCAGCAAACATCAAATCCAGTAATAACACGTAAGTTAAGTAAATGAAACGTGTTCAATAAGTATTCAGTTTTAGAAGGTGTATACGAAGGAATTAAGCACAAACGGAAATGCACTGGTAAAAGAAGTCATGAAGTCATAAGAGGAGAAAGAGGCCAGTTAAGAAACATAGCATATGTTATCTTGTATGAAATGTGAACAACTAAGTAATCCACTTGAACTTAACTACAACCATTTACAGGTATATATGTGATGAACAGCAGACAGATGATGAAGGATGAATACATGGTGACTTGTTATAATGGATAGATGGGTGGAAATAACAAATGGAGGTGGTCAAGGGAAAACTGTGACAGAGTGAAGCCTTAGATAATTTGATTCACCATGTTAAGGCTAGGATTTTAAGTCATTTTTTACAGCTAGTTTTAAATTTCCAGCTTCCAACCCTGCTCACAATGGCCGTGTATGCAGCACATGGGGCAACTTCCACTTCAAGACTTTTGATGGAGACATCTACCACTACCCTGGGCTCTGTAATTATGTTTTCGCATCCCATTGCAACACTCCTTATGAAGAATTCAACATCCAGATTAGGCGTACCCTGGTGGAAAATGTTCCTATAATCCACCGCATTGCCATAAAACTTGAAGGTGTAGCTGTTGAGCTAACAAAGGATACTGTCCTGATCAACAGCAACAGGTGAGTCTACTCATACCATCTGTTTGGTAAATACAGATGTTTTGGTTTTTTTTTCCAAGTTGGCCAAGTACTTTTTGTATAGTGGGGAAATAAGATCAGCATTCTTCAGTAAGTCTGACAATTTTACCCAGAGAAATAATGAATAAGTTGCTATTAATTCAAGTCACGATAAATCAATCATTCATTTAAAGATTACCTCAAAAACAAGATTTCTATGAAAAATCCTGAGGTTGGATTCAAATTTAAATCCACATTTGATGGTACTGGACCATTTTATTTTTTAATTGCTTTTCTTTCCACACAACTGCATTATATCCTTGTAAGACACTGGAATGCACAAGCCTTTTTTTTTTCCTCTTTATCAAACATCCGGATCAGAAAATATTCAGTATTAATTCTACCTTTCTGTAGAGTTCAACTGCCATACAGTCAAGCTGGAATTACTATAGAGAGAAGCAGCATTTACGTGAAAGTTGTCAGCAAAGCAGATATTGTATTTATGTGGAATCAGCATGACAGTATCTTGGTAAGAACAACTCTTGGACTTGCCTGCACCTTCAGATCAGCCAAAAAGCTAATCTTTGATTAGGTTAATGCTTGTTTAGTAGTTACTGTTGCCTTTCCATTGCATACTGTTGAGCAGTTTTTCCTTAAGAAAGATAGGTTTGCATCCAGGTAGTCCCAAAGAAAATTACATGGATTTACTTCTCTTTGATAGCAGACTTCTGCATAAAGTAGGTTGAAAAACCACTTTCACTAACATTAATATATTACCATTTGTATAATCAATGAATATAAAGATGTTATAATTATGAACTAAACCAGAGAGTTTGGATAAGCAAGTTACAATAACAAAAAGAGAATACATAGAATGCTTACTCACATCCTGGGCTCACTGCAAAACTCCAAAGGCGGGATTTCTAGAAAAGAACCATTTCCACTGGTAGCCAGCTCTTAAATGGGTCTAGGAGAAGAAGTGAATTGCCTTCACCTGTGCTCTGTGGCTGACTCATTGCTTGCCTCAGGTGATCAATCAGAGGTTCAGGCTGTGATTCAGCAGTTCCCATACACCATCACTGTCTGACTTACCTCTTCTAATACAATTTTTGGGCAGAGTTTTTCTCTCTCAGGACATCGTTTTTGCTGTGAATTTGATTTTCTTTCTGAACAATGGAGAGAAAAAGGCTGGGTTCTCTACAGATATTACAGTGAAAATTTATGTCTACACCAATAGTTTGGAGTTTTTGTTGTAAATCAAATCTAAGACAACTCTTCATTCTATCCCTCAAGCTTACATTGGATTTCTAAATAAAATTACATAGTTCTGATGAAAAATAGGGTCAGCAGGTGCAAGTGTTTTTGATGATCCTGAATATATTTTACAATGCGTATACTAACTTTTGTCAACATATTGCCTATCATTTTAGTTAGAACTGCATGAGAAATATGCCAATCAGACCTGTGGTCTTTGTGGGGACTTCAATGGCATTCCAGTTTACAATGAGTTCTATTCAAACAGTAAGTTTTTTAAATATCAGAAATTGGTTTCTAGAGTTGTCAGCATGTATTCTACTATCTTTCAGCACTAACATCACCATCATTCCTCTTTCCTATCCTGTTGAAGAATATACTCAGAAGCTATGATTCAATCTATGTTGAAAAACATAATAAAAAAACATAAACAGATCGTGTATTTAATACCTAAAGTTGTTAGCTAGTTTCTCACTAATAACATAAATATTGAAATATATCCAGTAAAACAAAATGTAGGTGTAATATCTAGTCAATACATTTGTTTTTTCAGTTCTGTCATAAAAATAATTCTAATAGTAACATATCAATTCTGATTTGAAAAGCCTGGGAAATAGATCTTATGTCTATATTAATGAGTCCATTAAACATGCTGTCAGAATTTTGAATATTTAATCCTATTCCACAAAATATATCCACATTTGCCTTTTAATATGCATAGTCTATATATAATCCTCTCTTATTTTATCCCTTCTCAATTTGAGTGTTTTCCTAAACCTTGTTTCTCAGCAGTCTCCATTGTACAAACCCCTATTTTAATTATTTTCTCTCTTCCCTACATGGACTCATTATCTTCTGAAAACAGTCTGTTTTTCAAATCTTAGTTTGCGCCTAAATGAAGTAGACTGAAAATTGTTTTCTAATGTTTTATCTTTTTCCAGATAGCGATGTCAGTGTTTATTTTGGAAGGGATGATGATAAAATGAAAAAATTCAAGGGAACTATCTGCCTTAGCTGATCTTGAAAAGAATTCTTGACAAGAGGAAAAGATATTAGGAAGTTGTGTTGACCAAAAAAATCCCGCAAAACCCTCATTATTAAATTTCTTTTGCACAGATATCAGAATGACAGCCTTACAGTTTGGGAATATGCAGAAGTTGGATGGGCCGACAGAGTACTGTGAAGACCCAACTCCTTCCTCATCAGATAATTGCACATATGACTTTGTAAGTATCTTTCTGATTATTCTTTAATTTTTCTTTCACATTTATTTGTATTGTTCTACAGCTTCAGAGGGATCAACAGGAAAAGACCTAGGGCAATAGTAAGTAAAGAGGGATATGAAATTCTATTAAAGAACAATCTAGCAAAGAAACAATGCTAAAAATTTGCTACTTTCTATTTTCTGAAAGTTTTCTTGTCTTTTTTTTCTCCCCAGGATGACATATGTCAGAAAACATTGACCAGCTTTGCATTTGAAGACTGTAATGGCCTAGTTAATGTTAGTGAGTACATTAGGGCTTGCCGAGAAGACTTGTGCCGCTCTGAAGAGTTAAAAAATGCCTCATGTATCTGTGATACTATTGCTGAGTACTCCCGGCAGTGTGCTCATGCTGGTGGGGAACCTTTGAACTGGAGAACCTCAAAACTGTGCCGTAAGTATTAGTGGAGATGCCTTTATTTTGTGCTGGGTAAATAAAAAGAAATGAGTTCTCAAATAATGCTGAGTATGCATTGGAAATTACAGGCGTGGTGAGGGTTCTGATGTATAAGCTCCAGCAAGAAGACTAAGGAGAAAGAACTAAGTGTTTTAATGCAGAGTGGCTTAAACAGTATCAGTTAAATGGATACACTTACTCAAGAGCTGAAGGGTCATTTAATGAATTGGGATAATAAAGGAAACAAATACAAGGAGAAAGAAGGAGAGTGATTTGGTTACTTATATTTCTGTTTCTCCCCCTTTTTTTATGGTGGCGACCATATTTTTTACCCTTGTTGATGAATTGATTGAGTCTTCACTGGTCTTAGGCTAGTGTAGCATTTAATCTCTAGCTTGGTTTTGAGTAGTTTGTACCACTGTAATCTTCAGAAGTTTTCACTGAATTAAACACCTGTACATTATTAGTGTAGCTGTTGATACTGTCACCAACATTTGTTTGAAATTAAAATCCACTGGGATATTATTTGCTGTTTCAAGGGATATCTGAAAAATCTGAATACACTGAAGCTTTAGGAACTTGATTCTTACGTTTCCCTAGCTATGCAGATGTTCTTGAAAAGGCTACCTTTAACAGAAACCTTGCTAGCTTTGCAGAACCATTTTCTTGATGTGCCTAGAACTCCAGTCATTTTGGCGTCAGTTAAGTCTTTCTTCACACTGTCATGAAAAGCAAATCTCAACTGTAAAACATAGATCTGAATGAGTAAAGTTAAAGATTTTGACAAGTGGGGATAGGTCTGTGGTTTAGTGTGGTTTTAAATCTAGCTGAAAAAATGTAAATGAACATACTTATTTCCATATACAGTGAACTAGAAATACTTCAGACTGAAAAAACTCTCCTTTTATTAACCTTTCAGCCAAGACATGTCCTTACAACATGCAGTATTCGGAGTGCAGCTCCCCCTGCACTGACACATGCACTAATCCTGAACGATCTCAGTTTTGTGAAGAGCACTGTATGGATGGTTGTTTCTGCCCCCAAGGCAAGTTCTTATATACTCACATTTCTGATCTCAAAATAAACAAGACAGATTCCATGAGGCTTAAGGCCCTTATATTTGCATTTTTCACAACTGCAAGTGATAAGTATTTATCGTTTATCAACTGAGGAAAGACATTGGAATTAATTGCCAGGGCACACGCAATAGTTAGAAAGCAGGAAAGCAGAAAAGCAAACAGATCAAAGCTAGTCTTTTAGCAAGCCACCTATACTAAAATAACTCCCTTTCAAAGCAGGTGGAATTTAAGAATAGAAAGGTTGAAAGTCTGTAAATTGGCATAGTCCTACTGTCCTCAGTACATCTATGACAGTTCACAGCAGCTGCAAATCTGTCTTTGAAGCAACATTTAGTAATGAACAAAAATGATTTTTTTCCCATGTATGGAAAGTACCTCTTTAATTGATTAAATTCTGCTGTTATTGTTTTTAACTTAAGGAACCGTTTTTGATGACATAAACAATTCTGGCTGCATCTCCCGTCAGCAATGCTCCTGTATTTACAATGGCAACACTTATGCTCCAGGAACTTCTTTCTCAGAGCAGTGCTATTCCTGGTAACTCTTGCTATTTTCTTAACTCTTTATTTCCTCTAATATATTTAGTGGGTTTAATGATTTATTGTTTGCAATTACATCATCGTAATTGATCTGTGTATTTAACTAGCCGCTACAGTTCCAAAATAACCTCAACGAACATTCTTTCTTTTATTTAGCAACAGCCTTAACTGTCTTTGCACTTGAGCTCAAGGTGATCAAAGTAAGGATTTACAGTGTTTAGATTTCTCACCAGTGAATTCAAGTGCTTCCTCTTTGTTTATTTTGTTCAAACATTTGGACTTCTCTAAAGGGAATGAAGTTGCAGTAATTTACGTATTTGCAAATATTTATTTTCTCTGAAGAAAATAAGAGAAGCTACACAACCATAGTTTCACAATTATTAATCCTGTACCTGTACAGTACTACATTACCTTAGAAAACAGACATACTCTATCTACTCACTAGGAGTAGATGTGGAGTCACATTTCTCTTAGTTTCTTATAAATTTATACAAGAAAACAGAAGATATTTTAATTTGGCATTATGTTTTATGTAAGCTGTAGAAGACAAGCAATTACTCATCCAGCACCTGTTGCTACTGAGTTAACCTGTCCAAAAAAAGAATAGAAACAAATGAACAAAGTGAATGCATATCACAGTCACTCCCTTTAATGCTTTACTTCATATGTTCACAATATTTGAGAAAGTCTTAAACCTGGATTTGCCGTGTATTCAAACTATAGATTGAAAGGGAAAAGCAGTTCTAAACCTAATGTCATTGTAATTCCTGTAAGTCTAGACTGCTATTGCTGATTTCAGCTAAGTTTGTCTTGCCTCTTCCAGTACATGCAATGGAAGCAAATGGAATTGCGAAGATATGTCATGTCCAGGAATATGTTCCGTAGAGGGAGGCTCGCACATTTCGACATATGATAAAAAGCATTATGATGTCTATGGAGACTGCACTTACGTCCTTTCTAAGGTGAGACTATTACTTGGTCATAAAGCCTTATGTGCTTGTGGAGAGGATAGGTAATCTCAATCAACATCTTCAAAACTTGTCTTTTGACGTATGTGTATTGAGTTGCTTCAGTTAATCAGACACTTACTGGAATGTATTCTGCCATTCAAATGATTTAATTATCAGCTAAATATTAGGATGTCATGCAACAGTAAATTGTGGTTTCCAGGGAATTTCCAGTTCTGTCATACAATAAATGCTGAGGACTATTCTCTTTTTAAGGTATTGCTTAATATACATTCTTCTGCATGATTGTTCCAGCTATTTTACTGGATTAAATAACTTTGCCCTGTTAACTGTATCTAATAAGTATTTCTTTCTTGGAAGCAGAAATAAAGAAAAATCAGATCAAGTCAACTGATACATTTCATTTAGGTTTTGAACCATTATAAAAATGAGTTAAGAGAAATAAAGAAGTAAAAAATTTATTGTAATCAGAACATTTTGTTACGGTAATGTGTAAGTGAAATGGTTTGACCTTTTTGATCTGATTCTTCTATGGTTTCTTTTTTTCCATTTGCACAATTCAGTCTAAAAAAAAAAAAAAGAAAATTACTCATTTTTACTATTTCCCTGACAAGAGAGACTTTGACAGGGACAGCTTTTGTAATTAGCCTTTCATTGAATAACTGTTGGGATTTTTATTTATTTTCAGCACTGTGAAGATGAAATATTCACCATCCTGGTAGAACTACGCAAATGTGGCATGACAAGCACTGAAACATGCTTAAGGACAGTGACCCTCAGCTTGAATAAAGGACAAACGGTAAGAATGCAAAATAAGCATGAGAAAAAAACTATTAACCACGTGGGGACCAAAGCATCTAGGCCATTATCGGGTAGGGACCTGCATTTATTTCCACACATGGGATAAGTACATTAGATTTTTATCAAGTGAAAATAAACTAGTTTTGTTGTGAAAATGAAATAGCAGATTTGACTTTATGGAAGTTCATAGAAGTTCAAGAAAAAGCTGAAAAAGCTCTATTTCTGCCAATTAGATGAAAACACATAAACTTGTAATTTAGAAGCTACATGTACAACAGCAATGGGTGTAATTCATCATAAAGTTTTGTTCATATAAACCAAGATGATAAAATTCACTAATCAGTTGAGAAGGACTCTTCAAAAACCATTTTTCCTTGGCCAGGAAAATTAGTGTAAGTGCACAAAGTGGAAAGAGTGAGAAAAGATGAGATCACAAAAATGCCCCTTTTAATTAATAGGTCTTTTAGTAATATCACCGGATTCATCACTATTATTACTCTTTTACCTGTTGTTCCTCTTCCTAAACAGCTCGTTGAGGTCAAAAGTGATGGTGGTGTGTTTGTGAACTCAATCTACACCCAGCTGCCAATCTCAGCAGGTATTTTTTCTCTAACATTCACCTCTGATGTTGTGGGCAATGTCATAAAATAGGAGGCATTAGTTTTAGAGCAGCCTTCGTATCATGATATACTCTGTCCCTCATTTAACCTCCTCCAGAAAGCAATCTTATATTTTTTCTTTTATAGCCAATGTCACCATCTTTAGACCTTCATCATTCTTCATCATCATGCACACAAATATTGGTATCCAGGTTGAAATCCAGATCACACCCATCATGCAAATGTTTGTGCGATTGGACCCTGTGTTCAAAGACCAAACCTGTGGTAAGTGAATGAAACTGAAGAACATCTTGCTAAATGTCTTTTGTTGAGTACAAACAGTATAAACTTTTCACCGGTTTTCAACAGGTCTTTGTGGAAATTTCAATAATGTCCAAACTGATGACTTTAAGGCCATAAGTGGAGTAGTTGAAGGAACAGCAGCAGCATTTGCTAATACATGGAAAACTCAGGCTTCTTGCCCTGATATCCAGAACAGTTTTGAGAACCCCTGTGCACTCAGCATCGATAATGGTAAATGCTTCATAACATTATTTTGTTAAGAAAAAGATTTTTAAAAAATTTCTTAAGAAATTTTTTAATTCTAAGAAAAGCACAACTGTTAAAAAGCAAATATAAGAGAATGAAGAATTATATATTTGGTGAAAACATACATCTGTAATCAGAATATTCACAATGAGAACATGAGGGCTATATAAAGAAGTAAAGGAAGAGTCCTGGAGGCATAACTGAAAGAAACTGTGTGATCACTGAAAACAGAATGTCTAAGCTCACAGCTTGATATCAGAAGAGTGGATCACATGAGCATCTTTGGAAATTCTTTATTTGTGATCTTTGGTAACTCTTATTTCATTGTACCTTTGGTTTTAATAACCTTAGAGCACAAATTGAGTGAAAACAGACAGGAGGGGAGAGATTAGATGTAATTTCAAAACTAGTTTTGCATTTTAGGAATGTGGGTAATGGGACTAATGAATTAAAAAAGTAATGTGCATATTTGCACTGTTTGTTCTTTTAACAGAAAAATATGCTAAGCATTGGTGTGGGCTACTAACTAACAGAGAAGGACCTTTTGCTGGTTGTCATTATCTACTGAATCCCTCTACTTACTACATGGTATGTTGGTAGACTGGTTTCTCTTCAGAAACAATAGAAATAGGATCATGTACAACTAGCTACCAGGAAAAAACTGTCCCAGACATATCTCTAGTCTTTTGCAATACCTGCATTTTCATTTCTATACTGCACTTCTTTCTTTCAACATGTTGCTGTTTTTGCTGTGGCATTATCTTATTTCAGTTGTCAGTCTTGGTTTTGTCATTCCAAATGCAAAGGCAGCTATTTTTTCTTGGATGGATATACCTATATGGGTAGGAGGTTAGCACAAAGGCAGGTTAAATGGTTATTTGAAAATTACAGTTAACTGCCACCTCACCAACCTCACTTTATTGTTAACTACTTGGCACAGAAAGCCCATTGGCTAATTATCATCGTTCCACTATCAGTGTGCTGTCAGTCTTCCTTCTCATTACAAATGACCCAGATGTTGATAGTCTTAGAAGTGTTGAGATTATATTTTTTCACATTCCTAGAACTGCATGTTTGACACGTGCAACTGTCAAAACAGTGAGGGCTGTCTGTGTGCATCCCTTTCTTCCTATGTGAGAGCTTGTGCTGCAAGAGGAATCCAAATAAATGGGTGGAGGACTAATGTCTGTTGTGAGTACACTTCTCTATTTCCTTTCCTGTGCGCTCATCAATAAAAAGTGTTGGTGAAAAAAAAATTATATTGATTTCTAGACAAATATGGTAAGTATCAAGGAAGGGATTTTGTTAAATGCACTCCTAGATGTAATTCCCTGCTGTTCCTTTAGATTCAATCCATTAAAAGCAAGAATAAACAGATGGGAGAGAGCTTGCTGTTACAGACACACCTCCATCTGTTTCTGCACGACTTTGAATTTAACTATAGTTTTCTATATCGCAGTGTAACAGAGATAAATAAGATATATTAGAATAATAATATTAGTAATACTAACCAGAAAACTAGAACAATGAAATAGCAGCACCAAATGGAAGTTTCTTTCCAAACTCTCATTTGAAAAAAATATATTTCTTATAGCATATATGACTTGATTTAATCTACACATACAGTGGCTTTCACTTCTAATTCTGGAAAAATTCAGAAAAAACTTTGATGTGAAAGATAGAGCATAGGCAGAGGTGTATAATATTGTTCACCTGTTACTGCTACTATGTACCATTTCTTTCTTCTCAACAAAAATTACCATCTGGAATTAACAAACTCATTCTTCCTTTTTACTCTCTCAAGCAAAGTACACCACCTCATGTCCCAAATCCCTAAGTTACAGCTATACCATCGATTCATGCCAACCCACATGTCGCTCTCTAAGTGAGCCTGATATCACATGCAAAATTAAGTTTGTCCCAGTTGATGGCTGCACCTGCATAAATGGAACCTACATGGATGAAAGTGGCAAATGTGTGCCTGCTGATGAATGCCCCTGTTACTATCGAGGATCTCCCATACCACTTGGAGAAGTTGTCCGTGAAAATGGGCTTGTATGGTAAGGGAAGCTTTTAAAAAACATTCAAGCAATAGTATATGCATTTTATTACCTAAATAAGCTTAATTTAAATTGTTCTCACCTTGTCCTGTGTGAGTTTCAATATAGTAATATCATAAACATTTTTTAAAAACTTTTAAGAATAATATATACATCCAGATTGATAGAGCAATTGTATATAGGAGTATTTTCTATTTGATTTTATGACTTTTCAAGCACAAAACACACGACAGAAAAAGCAAAGAGAAATCTTAAGAGAAAGTAAGTAACAAGCAGAAATATATCCATTTCAAACTCTAGTTTTTCCTATTACGAAAGCATAATTGGTAGTGGTGTTGAGAGAAACACTTCCCTGGGTCTGTAAAATAGTATTCAGGAATTCAATTAATTCCTTATAAAGTACTGAAATTTGACAGAGGTAGCTCTCAGTCTCAATATATGGTTAAAAGTTAATGTTTTTCCCTCTCTTACAGCACTTGCATCCAGGGAAAACTGAATTGCATTGGAGAACCCGATCAAATTCCAGGTTAAAAAAGAGTCTTCCACTTGCACTTGTCTTTTTCTCTGTGCCAGGTTCTGGACAGAAATATTTGGTAGAATTGATACTTCTTAATGGATTTTTAAATAATAGAAGTATTGCTATACTATAAAAGGCAGAAGTAAACCTAGGTTCATGAGAAGATCTGTTCTAAAAGATTTTTTTCTGATATACTGTGGAAGGTTCTGGGAATTCAGTGCTCTGAAGTGAATCTACAATTGGATTCCTATTTAGCAGACTGAGTAGGGACAGCAGTCCTTACTAACTGAAATGTACAAATTCCAAACAATTTCTAGATGGCTTTTATTTCTACAGCTGTGTGATAAACCCCCAGCCATTTCTTACTTCTCCCACTTCTTTCCTTCCTCTAGTTTGTGAATCTCCCATGTTCTACTTAGACTGTAGAAACAACACAGCAGGAACAACTGGATCAGAGTGTCAAAAAAGCTGTCATACTCTGGATATGCAGTGTGTAAGTATGTCATGGCTAGATGAAATGGTACTTTCAAGTTTTGTCTGTCATCTTTGTGCTACAGTCATCATTGATCTAACTCTCCTTCTCTGAATCTACATCACAGATACTTTGTATGCTAAAATCCCCAAAACACGTTATGAAGTGTTAAGGATAGGATCATCAGAATAAAATTTAACAAAGTAACATCCAACTTTTATAAGTGTCAAAGTTTCTTCAGCTACTTCTCAAATCACCCTTATTAGAGCTAGCATTTTGTAACTGTTTCATCTGACTAAATTGAAAAAGGTGATGGCTTTCTGACTTTCAGCACATGATTTGCGTGAAAATTCATGACACAAAAATTGATCAAGTATAAGAACATAAACCTGTGTGTATATAATATGAAGTATTTCTTTTTATGTCTTACACAGTGTTGTAACAGTTCAAGTCATTCAAAGTAAGAGTAATTAGTAGTGAAAATATTTAGAGCTTTGCCGCATATTTTACTTCCTTAAGAGAAAATTATTTCCTGTAGGCTGGCTAGGAGCAATCATTTCTTTCCAATGATAGTGCACATCTAATTATATCTTTGTCTAAGTGCACGATAGCCATGCGTAATTTCATGAATAGGTACCATGAGAGATGCATCTGTTTTCAGTGCAACTCACTCAAACTAAATTTACTTATTTTCTTTTTAAAGTCCATTCATTCAATCACAAGTCATCCATCACAAAGCATAGGGCTTCTTCGGCTAACACAGAGCAAGTCTTAAGATCCGGTATAGTTCAAATTTCACAGACTGGAACAAATGCATTTAGGATCAGAATGCATCTAATGTTTAGCAGCTTTATATGCTAATAGCTTCGTCTTTGTCGTAGAGGCCTATAAATACATCAGTCTTCTCTTATTTAAGCTGGGCAGAAATAGAACATATAAAGACATTTTAAGTTGATCTAATCTTCGTTTTTCTAGTGTGATTATTTTATTCTGAAATTGTATCTTCCTCTTGACCTTTCCAGTATAGCACACAGTGTGTATCTGGCTGTGTGTGCCCATCTGGACTTGTGTTAGATGGGAAGGGTGGTTGTATTCCTGAAGAGGAATGTCCATGTATTCACAATGGAGCCACGTATCAATCCGGGGAAAAGATCAATGCTGACTGTAATACCTGGTAAGTATTTTCTGGAAGGTTGCATTCCTGGTTCCATCATTTGCCTTAAGATCTTAAGCTGTACAGTAGTGAGGAGAGATTTAGACTGTGCATTACATCAATTGATGGGTCTTTTAAGTTTTGACTCAGAAAGATGAGCAACTTTTGTTGCAGGTAGACAGCTGAGGCACAAACTGGGAGAAAACCTTTGGGAGGATGGTGTCCATTACATTCTACCCTTTTTTGCAGTTCATGCTTTTGGAATAGAAGAAGAGAACTTTGCTTTAATACTTCACATGGGAAATGTAAAAGACTGTTTTAACTTCAGAATCAATATAACATTTATCAAGAATGAGATGCCAAACAAATGCTGAGTTTTTGGGATATGTCTGCATAAGACAGCGAGTTACTTTATTACTAAAACATTTAATTCTCTTTCCTAGTGTGTGCAAGAATAGGATGTGGGAATGCACCAAAAAACAATGCCTGGGCACGTGTGCTGTTTACGGAGATGGACATTATACCACCTTTGATGACCAGACATTCAGCTTCAGTGGAAACTGCAAATACACGTTAGTCCGGGTACTGTTACTTAACAAAACTACATTGTAATATAATCTTGATCTTATCTGAAACAATAACATGCTTTTAATTTTACTACTCAGAACCACTGCGGGAAGAGTGACACAGTGAATGGGACCTTCCAGGTTATCACTGAAAATATTCCCTGCGGCAGCACTGGGACAACTTGCTCAAAATCTATCAAAGTTTTCTTAGAGGTATGTAGGTATTACATTGCAGACCAGGGGGTTTTTGTTCAGTATCTGTGTAAAGCTTGGGAGAAGTCAGGATATCTGTTGCCGCAAGGAAGTTTAGAGAAAATATTTTAAAAAGCAGATCAACCTGTAAATTAAGCTTAAGCCAGAATCAGGTGAAGTATTTGGTGCAGCTTCCCTGCTATCCGCCTATTCCAGCCTCACAAAGCTGTCTTATACTTACCCTTGGACTAACTACAGCTCTAGAGGAAAACTACCTGTAGCAAAATTTTGGCAGATCACATCAGAAGATTTTCTTACTCTGTGCACTGTAGTTCCTCCATGACTACCATGACATCATTTTTTCATCAACAATCTGCTCCATTTAAAGCACGTTTTTACCACAATTCCATGAACCTGAGATTTGAACCACATTACATTTGGATGATGTATTTTTCATTAAACAAACTGGTTTTAGTACTCTTAAAAGTGGAGAAAAAAGTGTTCAGTAGCACAGCTGTAGCTATTAGGTTCATTTCTAATCACCTTTTCCTCCGTTTTCAGCACTATGAACTGATACTCAGTGAGGAGCGTGTCAGTGTGATACAGAGAGGACAAGGTGGTGAAGTACCATTCACAGTCCGTTACATAGGTATGTACACAGTGATTGATACCACCAGCGGACTGATCCTCATGTGGGACAAGAAAACCAGCATCTTCATCAAGCTGAGCGCTGAATTTAAGGTGCGGAACTAGTAGTCTAGACCTAGACTGGGTGTTAATTTTTTATCTGACTAAAACAATATCCCAAACAGGTGATTTCTCTAGCATTCCTGGAGGATGTCATATGTCATTTTCTATTCCTCTGGTACCTTAGGAAGACACGTAAAAATGCAGCTACTCTTTGGAGTGCTCAAGGCAGTGTTCAGTTTCTATTTGGCCTGACAGAACTTGAGTTGGTAAACTGCTGCTACGGACTGTACTTGTTAAAATTACTTTGTGAATCTTGGTAAAGCTTATCAGACTTTACTAAGATTACATAGCTACATGTGTAGAAATCAATTCAGTAGTCCTGATTTTGAAAAATCATCTATTGTTTCCAGTACACATTCACACATAAATCCAAATTATTGTACTCCAAAAAACAAGGAAGTAAAATGTTATATATTTTTCAAGTATATATATGAACAAGGGACAAAGCACGGACAGAGTATAATCCTTGAATCCACAGAGAAAGCTTAGCATCTGTTACAGCCTATCACCATTTCACATATCAAAATTTGGAATGAGATATTTCTGGAAATGCAAGGAAAATGTCATTTATTTTTCCATCTGTCAGCAGTCATCACAGTAGACTTAACGAGTAAGTTACATGGGTGTACTGGCAGTACTTATGACAGCTTTGTAAGACTGTCTTTTGTATGAACATCCATTGTATAAAACAAAGCATAAATGAAAAGCATTGTAGCATGGTCAACTAGTTGAGTCCTCATTTCCTTTGTTAAATGTTAAGAGGATGTACCTCAAAGTTGATACGTCCTCAAAAATGGATAAAATGATCAAGACAGTTGTACTGTTCAGATTTAAAAAAAGGAAAGTCTGTAGCTGTTTGTAGCCTTGGTGGTCATGTTCTGTTGCTGAGGAAACAGATGGCTGCTTTTCCAGAATATCTAAACCTAAATTGTATCTTCAGTGGGAATCTTTGGGAAAGTTAGAATAGAATGGCACTCTAAGAGCTGAATTTCATGTATTCTTTCAGTTTCAGATCTTTGTTTTCTCATATCCATCATAATTTTTTTTTTCCTTTTGCAGGGTCAGATCTGTGGCCTCTGTGGAAATTATGATGGCAATGGCATCAATGACTTCACTACAAGGAGTCTGTCTGTAGTGGAGGATGTCCTAGAGTTCGGAAACAGCTGGAAAGTATCCTCCACATGTCCTGATGCTCACTTCTTAAAGGACCCATGCTCTACCAACCCTTATCGAAAGTCCTGGTCAGAGAAGCAGTGTAGCATCATCAACAGCAATGTCTTTGCTGCCTGTCACTCACAGGTATCACCAGGACAGGAGTTGACTCTGTGAAGATTAGGCCTGACTGTTACTGAATCTTCATACACTTTACCATATATGTTTAATTCATTAGACAGCATGTTTCACTTTGAATTGTGTAACTTCAGCCTATATCTTGAACAGTCAAACAGATCTATAGCCCCTACCTGTAAGAAACAGTAGGCTATATAGATCATAGAAGATGATACTAACTTATTGGGAAAGAACAATAATTTCAGAATTACTACATATTTTCATATGGTGTAACTTGGATAAAACATACCATGTAATGAACACAAATTCAATGAAATAACATTTTGGGGTAGTAATGAGGCAGTATTAACTGCCAGTACATATCAACAATGCAGGATAATTTTGTGCTGTTCCTATTACCTTAGTTCTTTCCACTACTAGAGATCTTCAGGTTATGGCTGCCTAGTACGGCTTGGGAACATGAAACCAATCTTTCACTGGGACACAAGTCTAGATGTCTAAAATTATGTCAATATGTGATTTGAATTATTATCTGGCATTACGTCTGGTGTCTAACAGTGTATATAAACATAACAAAAGAAATAACTGATATAGGCCTTCCGAGATCCTAATTTTAAGAAAATCAGTCTAGTGAAGTTGACAAAACTTAGAAGGAAGAATGTATAGTGTAATACTTATTTTTTATGACAGATTGAACCAGCAAGATATTATCAAGCCTGTGTGACAGATGCTTGTGCCTGTGATTCTGGAGGAGACTGTGATTGTTTTTGTACAGCAGTAGCTGCCTATGCTCAAGCATGTAATGAAGTTGGTGTCTGTATAGCCTGGAGAACCCCATCAATTTGTCGTGAGTTTTATTTTCTATACACTTCTTCTGAAAGTGTAGTAAAGTATACAGCAATTCCTTGCTGCTATCTTTGAATATATATTCTGTGTACCTCATGTACATGAATTATAATTGCACTGTGTACTTTCCAAAGGGTTTTGATGGTCACACATTTCACCTATTCATTCAGTTTTCAAGGCTGTTTAAGACAGCATGGTAGGAATCTAACAGACATGGCTCAAAAGAGTTTTGGGTTTTTTTCTGAACATGTTCAAATTTATGTTTCTCTTTAGCACTGTTCTGTGATTACTATAATCAACAAGGAGAATGTGAATGGCACTATAAGCCTTGTGGAGCCTCCTGTATGAAGACCTGTAAGAACCCAAGTGGAAAATGCCTCCATAACTTGCCAGGTTTAGAAGGTAAAAAGAGCTTGCAAGTACCCTTAAATGGATAAATTTGTTTATAATCTTTTGAATAGTCTTTAATGTAACCTGTTTTCTCCATCAGCCTTTCTCATCATTTAATTCTCTTCAACATCATTGCATCAGCATGAATGGAGATAAAGCACACATGAAAACATCTGTGGCTAAGTGCTCTGCTAACATTAATGCTCTGCATTACTTCCTACAATTACTGGAAAAAATTAGTAGTAAAAATTATTGCTGTTGAAAACACAACCTGCAAACACATCTTGCACAAACAAAACTTTTCCTGATTTTCTCTGTTCACACTTTTTCAACCTTGTATATGCCCTTTCCCATGTTTCAGGCTGCTACCCCAACTGCCCACCAGACAAGCCATATTTTCATGAGGATCAGATGAAGTGTGTCAGTCTCTGTGACTGTTATGATAATGAAGATGGAAAGATATATATGCGGGATAAATGTCAATTATGGTAAGGCTTAACTATTAATTTTTTTAATTATATATATTTAATATATATAATTAATTATTAATATAATTAATAATTATTAAATTATTAATTTAATTATTAATTAAAAAACACCAATCTAATTGTGTACAAGAAAAACTGACTAAACCAACAATGGGAAATTGAATGTTCCTGTTTCACAACACAGTGAGTTTCATGCTGCCTGGCGTTTCCACCCAATACCAGCTTTCTTACTATTTAGTATTATTAGGATCTATTACACTTTTTGTTCTGTTGAATTTGATCATAATTACGTTGTAAATCCTCAGCACAACGATACAACGAAAACAGTAAGTACTTTGAGACTAAGCTTCCTCTATTTTCCATTGCTATAGCGGGAAAAAATATCATTCCAGAAGTATATATATCTACTAAGGGGTCTACTTCCAAGGATTTATTACATTCTTAGAGCATGCTTGTAGTACTTAAGACTCTCCCTTCTTAATGTGTTTGTAAAAACAAATGCAAGGAAAATTATACATGGCTCTGCTAAAGACTTGCACTTATAACTTTGCCTAATCTTTAATTTCACTTTATGTATAAGCTTGGGTTTAATGTAAAGAAAGGTTTAGGAAAACCATGGAAAAATAAAAAAATTAAAAAAAAAAAGAAAAAAATCAACATAAACTGGGTGCTCAAGGAGTAAACACGTATGAATTGATGTTAACAGAATGAAATGGGTAAGGAGTGGATCTTCCATAATGCAGCCAGTTCTGACGATGATCCACACTACAAGAAAGAAAAAATTAAGACCTGCTTTTATTCAGGCTGTATGTTGATAGCTCTGCAGTGTGAAAAGGGCCTTAGTAATGTGGAATGAACAATTGTTATTTAGCTGGAATTGAGGCAACATACCCATCTGAATGCTATTATATAAATCAACTAAGTTGTCATTCACAATTATCTATTTCTGTTTCTTGATGCTAGAATCTGGCAGAAAGATGATAGCGGTACAATTAGCTTATAATATAATAAGTGTATTTTATGCTTTTTATTTTAGCGAGTGCACATCAGAAGGTTTACAGTGCAAGTTTGATGATAAAGGTAAGACAGCCAAGAAGCACTGTGAAAAATTTAGATACAGGATACTATGTTTTCATAGGTGACCAACAATAATCTTATCAATTACAGCATGTAACTGCATATATGAAAACAACATCTATAAATATAATGAACTCATCTACAACACCACAGATGGAAGTGGATGGTGTTTCCATGCAACATGTGATGTCAATGGAACAATAAGCAGAAATATATTTGAATGTGGAATCACCACCACCCCAAGTACCTCATTTACATTTTCTACCAGTCAACCTACAACAGGTATGCATGAATACTTTTCAAAATAACTGAAAAATCTATAGGAGGGATTGAAAATTGCCTAAAGGGAATGAGCCATTAGCACATACTTTTATTTGAAACTGTTGACTTCTGAAGCAACCAACTCAATTGGCAGCTTTAATTGCTTAAAAAGATATATAAAAAATACAGCATTTCTCACAGTCAGTCTCCACTACTTTACTGTTTTGTTTTTTTTTTTTTTTTTCCAGTGGAAAAATGATGAAACTTACTTGTCTTTGCTCTTTTCAGAATCTCACTTCCCTACAAATAAAAAACAGCAATTCTAGACCAGCACAAAAGACAATTACTGACATTTCAAAAACTACTGACCACAATAGCACAAACAGAAGATAAAATAATTTTGAGGGAATGCTCAAATTATTTTAAACCATTTTTTGGAATCTTTCCAATCTGATCATCTTTAATTACCTGAACATCTACATTTTCCAGCAGTGAACTCATACTGACCATGTAATTGAGAGAAATTGAGAAGTATTTCAGCACAATTACAGAATACTACAGCAAGAACTGTACAATCAAATTTAAGTCTGCTATTAAATGGTTGTAACATTCATGTGATGGAATGGGTATATGCTTCATACACTCATTTTCATAATGCTAACATACTGAACAGAAATCTCATTAAAATAAGAAATATTAATATGTATTCCATAATATAAATAAACTAAAATAATATAATAAATATATATAATATATAATATATATATAATAAATATATATATAATATAATATAAAATAATAATATAAATAAACTAAATATTACCTGTTTATATAATAAATTTAGAAATGAATGCCATAATACTAAAAATAATTAGGAAACTCATTATTTTTTAGAAATATTTTAAAACTAGTATAGTTGTGTAGCTACGCAATAGTAAGTGGATAGTGGTAATGAGAATAAAAATGAGAAAAGGAATAAAGAGATGAGATGAAAACCTATATTAAAAGTGAAAATCAAGATACTCGAAACAAGTTCATTAAAATACTATATTAACATACAAATATTATGTATAGCAATAAATGCATGGAAGTTGAATAACTTTTTTTTAATGACATTTTCCTCAGTAGAAGAAAACAAAACTTATATTTCTTTCTTTGAAATACAGAAATGGCAACCACAACACCAGCAAGAAGTGTATGCGTGAAGTATATATGTGAGTGGTCAGAATGGTATGACGGGACAGAGCTTGAAAATGAAGAGGAAACCTTTCAATATATCACAGGACAAGGAAAAAGCACTTGTAATACCACGAGCAGCATTGAATGCAGAGTACATAAACACTCAGATAAGACAATAAAATATCATAACCAAAAGATACAATGCAATAAAACCACTGAATTGAAATGCAATAACAAAGACCAAGAAGATAAGAAATGCTTCAATTACCAAATCAGAGTATTATGCTGTAAATATATATCATGTTCAGAAATAACAACTACAACACCAAAACAAACACAACAAACTACATTCACAACTACTGAAACAACAGCAATTCCAATACAGACAAAGAATAAAACAACAATGTCACAAATAGGAACAAAATCACAACAAAAAGAAACAACGACAATATCAAAACATACCAGCAGTGCAGATACCACTAAGACGTCAGTGCACCAAACAGAAAGTACGACCACCATTGCATCAACAACTTCATCAACAACACCTACCAGCAGTACCAGCACGACCAAGACAACACCCCCTGTAACAACAGGAACAACAAACATTGCACCCACAAGTGCAGGAACCATCACACCTACCAGCAGTGCCAGCACCACCAAGACCACTCCTCTTACAACTGGGAGCACAACCGCCACGACCCCTCCCCCAACAAACAGCTGCCAGCCGCGCTGTGCCTGGACGCAGTGGTTTGATGTGGATTTCCCAAGCTCTGGTAGCCAGGATGGAGACTTTGAGACCTATGCAAATATCCGTGCCGCTGGTTATGACCTGTGCTCCCAGCCGCAGGACATCAGGTGCCGTGCTGAAAACTACCCTGACAGGAGCCTGGAGAGCTTGGACCAGAA